ATGCCAATCAAGAGTAGAAGGGACATATAAATGGTGGTGTAGTTATACAGTGGGGGAACAGTGATAAAAACAGAATGACAGACAAAACTTAAATTCATTATGCTGAATGAGAACAGCAAGAGACAAAACAGCATGTGCTGTATAAATCCATTTATCTGATGTTCTAGCTGAACCGTTTATCTGAACTGATCTCTAGTGGAAAGAAAATCTGTCAGGTTTGCCTGGGGATATGGGAGCATGGGGGTGAGGCAGTGTGGACCGGGGAGCTTTCTGAAATGATGAAAATGTGCTCCATCTTGATTGGGGTGATAGTCACATGGGTGTATGTATTCGTCAAAACATTCACTTAAAATCTATACATTTATTGCCTATAAATTATACCTTGATGAAGAACAAGTGTATTTTATAGGCTTTCTCTGTGAGGGCATTTTTCTAAGTGCTTTACATGATTTAACTTTACTATCACAAAACTATACAGGAGAATATATGTTTATTTGCACTTTACAAATGGGGAAACCGAGGCACAGAGTGGTTACATAAATATCTAAGGTAATGGAGCTGGGATTTGAACTAGGGGCAGGATTTGAACAGATCTGAACAGTGATAGTTCGGATCCAGAGGTGGACGCTTATCTGCTGAATCATATTTCATACTTGCCAGCAGTGGCAACCAGCTTGTTATTCCCCGTTTCCTATAACAGTTTTTCAAATTTGCTCATATAAGCAGAAAGAATCTGGTGACTTAAGTACACCTATTCACATTGGGCTTTGGGGTGTTTTAATGATTCCATTTAGCTTCACGGGAGACAACACCTGAATTGTAGACTGGCCTTGCCAATTATCATGAAGACCAGTTGCCTGAACTTTGTTCTCTAATCATTGTCCAGTACAGTTTATTATAAGATATGCAAAACCATGTGCTTGATGTTGCCAAGAAATAGAAGGTGAAAGTAACTCTGGCATGAAGATTTGAAAGAAGACTCATTCACCCCAGTTTGATAGTTATAACTTACTGTATAGGGTATTATATGCTGAGAAAAATGAAGTGACACCAGTGTTCACTGTAGCTGACTGTGGGGAATGAGACTGAGGTAGGAGGAAGATTTCTAATTTCTCAGTTATATACTGGCATATCATTTGAAATTTTTATTCTAAGTATGCATTCTGGATGAGCTATTTTAAAAAGTTTTTTAAACAGAAAAAGAGACTCCTATGTATAGAACAGACTTGTGGACTCTGGGAGAAGGCGAGGGTGGGATGTTTCAAGAGAACAGCATTGAAACACGTATATTATCTAAGGTGAAACAGTTCACCAGCCCAGGTTGGGTGCATGAGACAAGTGCTCGGGCCTGGTGCACTGGGAAGACCCAGAGGGATTGGGTGGAGAGGGAGGTGGGAGGGGGGACCGGGATGGGGAATACATGTAAAAAAAAAAAAAAAAAAAAGATACACTATGGTTGTGATAAAAATAAATAAATAAATAAATTAAAAAAAAAAAAACAGTGGTTGAATTAAGTATCCCTGCTTCTGTGAAGGTTAGTCATTTTGCATTAATCATACATTGAAAAAAACATGTACTGACTGTCTACTAGACGCCAGATACTAGTACTGGAGATATCTAGGAATTAGTAGTTTATCTAGTGGGTCAGACAGACATATGAGTGAATAATTATGAAACGAGGTGCATACTCTGAAGTTGAAGGAGCTTAGATCAGACCAGGAAACATTGCCCCAATTCTCCTTTTAGCTATGTGCCTTTGTTTAGTCGCTTAGTCGTGTCCGACTTTTTGTGACCCCGTGGACTGTAGCCCACCAGGCTCCTCTGTTCATGGAATTTTCCAGGCAGGAATACTGGAGTGGATTGCCATTCCTACTCCAGGGGATCTTTGTGACCCAGGGATTGAACCTGCGTCTCTTGTGTCTTTTGCAGTTGCAGATGGAATCTTTACCACTGAGCCACCTGGGAAGCCCCTATTAGCTATAGTAATCTCTACATGACTTCAAGGTGGGGGTGGGCTGGGGCGTGTAAGGAAATGAGACATTTCTGAGTGACTTAGGATTCTACAGTCTTCCTATTTTGTGAGTATTATTGGAAGAATGCCCAGTACATGGACGATATGGAGCTGATTCTGCATGTAAACATGACTTGCAAGACATCGGTTTTTTCCTAATCTTGGTTTCTCATACTAATGTGGTTGGGGAATTCCCTGGCTGTCCAGTGGTTAGATCTCCATGCTTTCACTGCAGTGGACCTGGGTTCAATCCCTGGTCAGGGAACAAAGATCCTGCAAGCCACAGGATATGATTGAAAAAAGAAGAAAAAAAGTGGTTGGCAGTTGCCAGAGAACTAAACTGCAAGATTGTTATTTGAGTGCTTTTCTCTATTCCATGGCTATGGAATGTATCCCTTATTTCAGTCACTGTCTTCCTATTTTGCTAAAGGCAGAGTGAGTAGGGGAGCTGGCTTGATGCAGATCTATTGTTTACTTTCTAGAGTCTCTTGAAATAGAAATGCCAAGTGGCCCACTAATGACCAGGGTAGAAAGAACTCTACGTCCGGGGGCAGTCACAGGGCCTTTGTCATATAAAGGAAAACACACTCATCATCATGAACGCCTGTTGTCTTTAGAGTCAGAAGAAGAATGGACAATGGTACACTTTTCTTCCTGCTTTAGTTTAAATGAAAATTTCTTTTTATTAACAGATTGTAAAACGTGGCACAAGCGGTAAATAATCCACCTACCAATACAGGAGATGCAAGCAATGCTTTGATCCCTGAGTTGGAAAGACCCCCTGGAGAAGGAAATGGCAACCTACTCCCATATTCTTACTTGGAAAATTCCAGGGACAGAGGAGCCTGGTGAGCTACAATCCATGGGGTTGCAAAGAGACACAACTGAGCACACACGTGCACACACAGGTTGTAAAAAGGTAAGTTATTTTTAGGACAATTAGCACCATATGGTGCACCTGTACCAAGCATGTCTTCTTTAATCCCGTGCTCCTGCCTCTTTAAAATGTGAGTGATTGCTTCTGCTTCCCCTGCTCCAGGAGCTTCAGTGTAGTTTAATCCTTCCTGCAACACTGCTGTCCTTCAATACCTTCTTTATAATCATTCCTGATTTTGGAATTGTTCTGTAATTGGAAGTCAGCCTCACTGGGCATGTGCATGTCTTAAGCTCCTCACAATGGCCCACCAGCCTAATTAAACTACAGAAACATGAGAACAATTCGGTGGGGGTGTTTGCAAAATCAATGCATGTTAGTAATCTGTATAGTTACAGCGACCTTACTCAGACCTAACTGCTTGGATGTGCTGATTTTATCAGTGGAAAGAAAAATAAAAGAAAAATTTCCATATTTCATGACTCTAGTCTATTCTTAGCTATGAGACTAAGGCTTCTGTGGTGTCAGAGAATTTGTTTGTAACCACAGCTTCTGGATCGGAGAGAGAAATGCCACTTCTGACCTCTTCTCTGTTTGCAAACCAATGGAAAATAATAAGGAGAATAAGAAGCAGTGGATGTCCCTCTTTACTGAGATTAGGAAATATTCATATCTGGACTCATAATACTGTATTTGAGAAAGGACTTTCAGGTTAATGAAAACTATATCAGTGTGAAGATAGACTCAGAAAGAAGGGTGGAAACTTCAGATTCCAGGCACAGATAAGACAGAATGCAGAATTCTTCATTTCACAGCCTTGGCTTGAAACAAGGTCAGAGTGCACAGACTGACAGCAACGTTCTGTGAGCACTGGGTGACCTTAGGCGGCAGCCAAGGAAACACAAGGACACTCCATCTTTGCCATTTCAGAAGACTATGGGTGGGCGGAGGATATACTATGAGGAATAAATAGTCCTCTAGCATCTATGTCTGCCAAAGAAGAGTAAAGACATCACTGTCTACCAAAACCTTCAACTGAGTGGCTTTACTGGGAAAAGGGAAACTCCCACCTCTCCCAGAGCCACTCACAAAGTTCACAGAGTATTGATAAGATTTCTGGAGGCAGCAAGCCTCAAGTGCTCACCAGCTCATTTGCCTGATCCTTACCCCCTTACTATCTATTCTCATTACATGACTCAGAAATAATATCTCCCTCCTTCAGTACTAGTCCATTAACAATAATTTCATAGTGTGGTACTTGAAAGAGACTGGAGTGAATAGGATGGAGAGAAAGTGGTATGTGTGTAATATTGCCACTTTTTATTAAAAATGAATATTAATTCTTGAATTTGAAAAGGGGAAAACTAACTCTCAGGAATGAAACAGAGTAGAAAAATGCAAAGAGTTAAAAAGAGATAAAAGAGTGAGAGAGAAGAATAATAGTCATAGTAAACAGAGGAGAACCAACATATGAATAATTGGCATCCCTCACACACTGTGCCATAGGCTTTTATGAAGGCTGACACCAGAACATAAAGAACAGAGGAAAAGGACATGTGAATACCATTTATGTTCCCACTTCATCACCACCACACATGCACACACCCCACACATACAAATCAACTATTTACACATGGATTTAAAAAAATTACTCTTGTGTATGGACAAAAATGAAAACACAAATAAATTACTTAAGGTATTCCAAAACCGTTCTCACATTCTTTCTTTTGGGTGAAGCCCCTTTAATCCAGTCATTAGTGTTTGTGTTTCCTCATATAATGTGGTCTTTATGCCATTAAGATCATTGGTGATGAACATTTCACTAAAAAGCATCTTAGCATCGTCTCCAGAATCTCCTTCTGAGATAGGAAACATTTTTGGAGACAACATGTCACTTTGGGATACCAAGATGAGTAATTCTCAGTGGTGAGGAGGAGAAGAAAGGGGAGGAGGAAGATGCTATAGATCTGAAGCATTCACTCCTGTTTTTCTTCTCTAAAGCTGAAACTCCATGACAGAAGTATCCATCTGTGGAAATAGCTTGTTTCCCCCCCCCTCCTCAAAGTAGAAAATTCAGCACCTGTACTTAGAGTTCTGTTGGAGGAGTGGCTGGGCTCAGAGTACACTAGGAAGCCAACTGCAGTTCAATGCTGGTGGATTCAACAAGTTGCAGCAGCTCTTCAAAGAGTATAGGCTATGGTTTCCGGTTGGGATGACCTCACCAGGACCCTTGACAACAGTGCTGGAGCAAAGGAGAATAAAGCGATTAGTTGAGACTTCAAAGACAGAGATAGAAGATAAACGGAAGATGACATATGAGAAATAGCACAGGGTAGGCAGCTGACTTCTTCCCTCACATTCCACTTAGTAATGCTGTTCATCACTCAGTCGTGTCCAACTCTGTAACCCCATGGACTGTAGCCCACCAGGCTCCTCTGTCTATGGAGTTCTGCAGGCAAGAACACTGGAGTGAATTGTGATGCCCTTTTCCAGGAAATCTTTCCAACCCAGGGATCGAACCTGGGTCTGCCCCATTGCAGGCAGATTCTTTACCATCTAAGCCACCAGGGAAGCCTAACATTCTGGTTAGGGTGGGTTAAGGACAAAGTAGTTTTTACTCTTAAATCCTGTTTGGCCTGAAAGACTCCTCTTATTTCCTCCAGAGTAAACAAATAAAGGATAGAATCAATCTTTATAGAACACTTGCACATGGGGCTTCCCTGGTGGCTCAGTGGAAAGGAATCCTCATGCCAATGCAGGAGACATAAGTTTGATCCCTGGACTCAGAGAATCCTGCATGCTGCGGACCAGCTAACCCCATACACCGCAACTACTGAGTCTGTGCTCTAGAGCCTGGTAGCCTCAACTACTGAAGCCCACGTGCCCTAGAATTGATGCTCTGCAATAAGAGAGGCCACTGAAATAAGAAGCCCATGCACTGCACCTGGAGAGTCTCCCCTGCTCACTGCAACTAGAGAAAGGCCCACGCCACAGCCAAAGTCCAGCACAGTCAAAAATAAATAAATAAATAAATGAAATTATGTTTTAAAAACCCCCCAAACTTGCACCTTAAGAAGGGCAGATGGAGCGGTGATACTGATTTTGAAGATAGAAACTGTACAGGATTGGGGGGCTGGCATGAGACACTGATGGCCCCTCATCCATTGAGGTTCATCACCATCATGCTGTCAGGGTAGCCTGCACTGCTCGATACTCTTGAAAGGGAGGCGGTACCTAGTAACTAGTACTAGGGTCTTAGATAAGGGTCTGGGCTCTGTGGGCAGAAAGACTCAAATTTTCTTGGCTATTTCTATCTTACTCTTGCTTGTAGTCATTTTGCTTCATTAAGTGACATAGTTTTTCCGAGCCCTGATTTTATCTCATGTTTAAAAAAACAATAGTGCTCAACTTACACGGTGGTTGCAAGGTTTAACTGAGCTAATTCATACAAAGTGCCTCATACACAGCTGGGGGCATATTAAAATGTTTGAGCAGCATTGGTTAGTGTTATGGTTTCTAGTCTTCATTGAGCAAAGTCAAGACGAAAGGTGTTTTGGGATCCCCTGGTGGTCCAGTTGTTTAGAATCCACGTACCAACGTATGGGACATGGGTTCGGTCCCTAGTCCAGGAAGATTCCACATGCTGTGGAGCAACTAAGCCTGTATGCCAGAACTACTGAGCCTGCACTCTAGAATCTAGTGTGCCTCAACTGCAGAAGCCTAGGTACCTAAAGCCCATGATCCACAGTGAGAAGTCACTGCAGTGAGAAGCACAATGCACACGCACATGCACCACAATGCCACAACAAAGGATGGCCCCTGCTGGCTGCACCTGGAGAAAGCCTACACTCAGCAACAAAGAACCAGTATAGTCATAAATAAATAAAAAGATGAAAGGTGCTTAGAACTGCCACACAAGGTCTTATATTAAGAGTGATGAAGTTATAATAAGTGGATGGTCTTTTTTTTTATCATTAATGATGCCTATAAAGAAGTTATCATCAAAAGTACAATACCTGCTCAGTAGACCCTGGCAACAAGATACGACGTTGGTTGCATTTCTAACTAAGCTGGAGTTGAAGGCATTCTCCAAAATGTGGTGGCAGTTGATGTCTACAGGGGTGTTGGTAAGTATACCTAGAAGTGGAACAGAGTGCCATTTATTTAATTAACGATGTCACTGAACTCTTCTTCTATTCTTCTGCACCATGCTCCACACATTTCACGCCACAGTGTGCTTAAGAGCAGCTCTGCCTCTCAGCTCCCTAGAGCAGCGTATGCTGTGTATGTAGGAGGTGGGCACTGTCCCCCGTTGCCATCCCGTGAGCGCAGGGAGACAGGACACAAACAACACAACATAATACCTGCGATGCAGGCCGTCAGGAAGCAGGCGATGGTCCCCGCAATCAGCGCTCTCATTGCTCCTGTGGTGATGTCACGCTTTCTTGAAGGAGCCATGGAACCTGGGGAACGTGGAAGAAAGTATGAAAGGTTAATGTTGAGGATATTGATTTAACTTCCAAATTCCCTGCCTCTGAGAGTTCTAGGGCTGGAGTCTCCGGTCAGCTGACTTTTCTTTTCCTTTTTTAAACTGAGTGGGAAAATTCAACATTCAAGAGCTAAGTGATGAGCTCCACATCCAGAGAAGTTTCTCTGGTGTAGGAGACCTCACAGTGTGTTGAGGGCATGGCAAGGCAAATGGGTTGCAAGGAGGAATCCAAATATCTGCAGCTCATCTCTCACCGTCCCCTTCTTTGCTTATGGTGGCACAGAATTAATTAATCACAGCATTTTTCCATTGAACTTCCACTGGTCCTCAGAATCCTTCTCCAGGTGGTCATTAAAAATCTATTGGAATTAGCATGCAAAGTGAAATGTATTTGTCATATTTGAGTGGAGTAATAATATCTGTTCATTTGAGCAAATTCTTCCTGATGTTAGCCAGGATGCACATAGGAAAACTACATTGCAGAGCGAGGGAAAAATAGACCCCAAAGAATTTACCACCGTTGCAGTGTCTCTTTTTCTAACACAAATAATGGTACAGAGCAACAGGGAGATCAGAAGCATGTTTACACTTTATCTGTTGGTGAAGAATATTCTTTTCACTTACTGAGTCCACCGATCACTATTCCCAGGGAACCAAAATTGGCAAAGCCACAGAGAGCATAAGTGGAGATTGCCTCAGAACGCATCTGGAAATAAGCATAAACACACAGATGTATACATGATGTGATCTAGTTTAGTAAATCTGATATCCTATCTGGGCTTCCAATTCTGACTATGAAATCACTATCGACAGATAAATGTACAGTGCATGGTGTCAAACACCCATTGTTTTTTCCATCTCCCCTTGAATTTTGAGGAAGGAAAAGGGGCTGTGTAAGTTCAGAGACTTCATGAAGTTCTTAGATTGGTAGTCTTGGCCTCTACAAATGCTATTTTCTGCTCAATTATAACTTTTATATTGTGTCAGGCAAAGTATTAGCTGCTGATGATACAAAATTGGTTCCAGAAAATACTCACATCACATTTATTTGACAGAGGACTTATTCAGAATGTATAAAGAAATGCTATAACTCATTAAGAAGACAAGCACCCAATAAAAAAACAGATAAAAAGATTTCATGAAAGATATGCAAGTGGCCAAAATAAGCACATGAGAAGATGTTTGACATCAATTGTCACCAGGAAAATGAAAATTAAATGAAAACAATAAACTATCACTACACATCCATTAAAATGGCAAAAAAAGATGGATAACACGAAATGTGGGCAAGGATGTGGAGCAATTGGAATTCTTATACACTGTTAGTGGGAATGTAAAGTGACACAGCCTGTTCATAAAATATGAACATACCTAGCAGTTTTTTTTGTAATTGAATTAACAGCCTGTATGATCACTAATACCAGTCCTATGAATGTTCCCAGGAGAAATAAAAACGTATGCCTACAAGGAGATTGTACATGAGTGTTTAAAGCAGCTTTATTCACAATAGCCCCAAGCTGGAAACAACTCAAATGTCCTTCAATAGCTAAATGGATAAATAAAGTGTGGCTATCCATAAAATAGGACACTACTCTGCAATAGAAAGGAAAAAGCTAACACATGCAACAAAAATGAATCCTGAATCCATTTATATGAAGTTCTTGAACAAGCAAAAATGATCTGTAGTGAGAGAAAGATCACTGGTTTCCTGGGACTGCGTTGGGGCGGGATGAGATGTTGTTGACAACTGGCCAAGGGAAGTTTTCTAAGTGTGGTGGAAATGTTCATTATCTTGATTGTGGGCGTGGTGACAAAGGTGACAGATTTATCAAAATATAGGCCTTTTTTGGTATGTAAATTATACTTTAGTGAAAAGAAATTATCTGAGTAAAAAGGAAGTTCACAGATAGCAGAGAGGCTCCTTTCAGCTATCTGTGGTATGTGCTTGCCTTTCTTTTTTCCTCAGCTCGGACCAGATCATAAGAACATTAGGTACCAGGAGAGTGAACAGTCTTTTCACAGGGAAAGATGAGAAGATGGCAGGTGGACTCTTGGAAGCATGAGCGTGACCCTCCTCCTCTGTTCCAATGGACAAGACATGCTGCTCAGCCCAGACGATCTTCCTCAGGTTGAGCCGCTGACTGTGGGAGGCTTGGATGATTCACTGGGGACAGTTGTTCACCAGAGGCACAGCCTATCTGGCAAAGGCACCCACATGACCAAGGCAATAATCTTCTTTACCAAAATCCTGAAAAATCTATGATTTGGTTTGAAGAACAAACCAGGCTAATGCTCTATCAAAAGTAGCGGTGACTTTTTTTTTCTCTAACTTTTTTTCCCCCACTAACTGAATTTTTAAAAGCTCACATTCAAGATTCAAGTGGGAATGGTAAGTTTTTTTTGTTGATTATAAAGCTCCTCTTCTCTTTCACAATTTCTGAGAACTCCTTTGTTGATATTCTCAATCATCATGCAGACAGGAAAAAAAAATTTCAAGTATTTGGGCAGTCCACTGTTTGTGGAAAAGCTCATTCTTGTCCCCTGCTCTGTCTACGGCTTTTTCATTTAGTTCAATTGGCTTCAAAAATAGGCAAGTTTGTTAAGAGACCATGGGGAAGGAGATGGCAAAAAGTGCTTAAGATTCCCTTCTCATTTCTGAGGATCTAGGGGAAGAAGGGACACAGATGTGGCCATGTAGTGTCTTATAATAAGAGGACAAGGAGGCTGGGATGATTCCACTTAGCCTTTGCTGAAGGGTTATGTGATAGAAAGGGCTGCACTGTACTAGGAAATTAATAATACTTCTTTCAGTTTTCCTTGTACTGGATCAAAGATCCACAGGAACAAGGAAAGTCATTGTAGCATTACTTCTAATAGCTAAAAAATTGTAATAGTGTTCATCAACAAGGGACTGGTTAAAATAAGTTATGATGTGCTCATATTGTGTCACAGGCATCCAAGATATGTTACCAAGGGCAAAGAGCATTGCTGACAACAGAGAGCATGATGTGAAATGTGGAGAGGAGCTGAATGGTAGAGAAATAGGGAGGATGACTTCCTTATCCTGTACACCTCTTGTACCTTTCGAGTTCTGTACCATGGTGCGTTTTATGTGTAAACAAACAAACATGCAAAGTATTATCTTTATTCTAAGAAAAAGAAGATGGTGAAAATGATGGAGTGATAAAGAGCTCATTCTGGGGGTAACATGCTACATATGCATTCCTCTTTTTTTTTTAAAGCAGAAGTATATTTGATTTACACTGTTTTGTTAGTTTCTGCTGCTCAGCAAAATGATTCAGATATATAGATATATATTTATTATATACAGATATGTATTCTTTTCCATTATGGTTTATTACAGGGTATAAATTTAGTTTGCTGTTCTATACAGTAGGACCTTATAGTTTCTCTATTTTATGTATAGTAGTTTTTATCTGCCAATACCAAACCGAATTTATCCCTTCTTTTCTCTTTCCCCTTTGGTAACTGCAAGTTTGTTTTCCATGTCTGTGAGTCTGTGTCTGCTTCATAAATAATTTCATTTGTGTTATATTTTGGATTTCGCTTAGATATAAGTGATATCATATGGCATTTGTCTTTCTCTTTCTGACTTACTTTACTTAGTATGATAATAGCTAGGTTCATCCACGTTGCTGCAAAATGACATTATTTTCTTATTTTTTATGGCTAAGTAGTGTTCTATTGTGTATATGTATCATATCTTCTTTCCATTCATGCATTGATGGACATTTAGGTTGCTTCCATGTCTTGGTTATTGTAAATAGTGCTGCTATGAACACTGGGGTGCATGTATCTTTTCATATTACACTTTTCTCTGAGTATATTCCCAGGAGTGGGACTGTTGGATCATATGGTCACTCTAGTTTTAGTTTTTTGAGGAAAAGTGAAAGTGAAAGTCTCTCAGTCATGTCTGACTCTTTGTGACCCCATGGACTATACAGTCTATGGAATTCTCCAGGCCAGAATACTGGAGTGGGTAGCCTCTCCCTTCTCCAGGGGATCTTCCCAACCTAGGGATCGAACCCAGGTCTCCTGCATTGCAGGTGGATTCTTTACCAACTTAGCTATCGAGGAACCTCCATACTATTTTCCATAGTGACTGTACCAATTTACATTCCAACCAACGGTGTAGGAGGGCTCCCTTTTCTCCATACCCTCTCCAGCATTTGTTACTTGTAGACTTTTTAATGATGGTCCTTCTGACTGGAGTGCGGTTGTGCTCATTGCAGTTTTGATTTTCATTTCTCTAATAATTAGTGATGGGCATCTTTCCATGTGTCAGTTGGCCATCTGTACATATGCATTCTGAAGGTCATCAGGGTGCATAATTCAATGGATAACACTGGGTTTTTGCCTTATGGGCCCAGGTTGTATGCTTTAGTCACATTGTACCGTTTCCAGGAGATGGTGGGACACTCCCACCACTTGTTGGTTGGTAAACAGAAATTGTAAGAACTCATCCCCATTTAGTTGATTGGAAATAAGACATTTGGAAAAACAAAATGCTTTCCCCTTTGTGACTCAACAATAGCAAAAGCCATTGAGTTCCTATCTCCAAATATCCTCCTGTGAGTCTGCCCCTGGTTGGGCTCACTCCCAACCCAAATCAGCTCTACTGTTCTATTTCTATCCTCTTAATAACCTGTTCACAAACCTGTTTAGTACAGCCAGAACTGAGAGCTCACTTTGCTTAATAATAAAACTACTTTTTCCAGGCAACCAGCAGTAGGGGATGGAAAACATTTCACTTAATTTAGCCTATTCTTTACTTTTGGCAGGGAAGCCAGCTAGTTTGTGGCGGCATCCAAACGGTGAGGACGTTTGGCCAAGCTCCATTGCGTGGTCAGTTGAAGAATGAACATTTGAGAAACAGGAGACCTGCAGAGCTATTGTTCATCTCAGATGTGTGGGTCAAAATGCCCCTGACCATAAATACAAATCCATACTCCCCTGGAGTATGCTGTTATATTTGTGTAAGATGTGGGAGTAATCTGCGTGTTTGGTGTTTGGGAGACTGGGAGAGATGGTCAGAGGTGGGCAGTCTCAGAACCTTGAACAGTATGCTTTTCCTCCCCTTTCCCTTTAAAGCCAAATACGTGCCTAGGACATTAATTCCAAGCAGCTTGTTTTGATGAGTAATGCTGGTGGTAGGAAATGTTCACCATTTCCCTCAGAGTTTCCATGTGTGACAATACTGGTCTTCAGAAAAGTAGAAGCTGGAGACTCAGCTGCAAATATGGCTTAAATAACAGCCTCACCCAGATTCCCTCATCCCATTCAAGGCCAGGTAGACATGAGCATCTCCTTGCAGGCTATGGACCTGAAATCCTGACATAATTATAGGGCCTGAGTTTTTTTCTTCCTACATTCACTTGGAAGATAGTGGTTGTGTCTCACTGCCTCTTTAATATGTCCAGGCACTAGGCGGCACTTAGGCAGTTTCTCAGAGATCAAACAGTTTCTTAAACAGGAAGAAAGAGAACTTCATGATCATTAGATGATGAGTCCCATGAGAACAGAGGCTTTATCACTCATTTAACACTGTGGCAGGCATCCATAGCACAGCGCTCGAAGACATTCCACAAATACCTGATGTGAAAGTGAAGTGAAAGTGAAAGTCACTTAGTCGTATCTGACTCTTTGCGATCCCATGGACTTCTCCATGGAAGTCCATGAATTCTCCAGGGCAGAATACTGGAGTGCGTAGCCATTCCCTTTTCCCAGGGGATCTTCCCAACCCAGAGATCAAACCCAGGTCTCCTGCATTGCAGGCAGATTCTTTGCCAGCTGAACCACCAGGGAAGTCCAAAAATACTGGAGTGGGTAGCCTATCCCTTCTGAAGCAGATCTTCCCAACCCAGAAATCGAACCGGGGTCTCCTACATTGCAGATGGATTCTTTACCAGTTGAGCTATTTGTTCTAATCCCAGCTCATGGATTTGCACTGATAGTGGCTCAAAGGTAAACGATCACAGTGGTAAAGATTAGCTGTGTTTTCTTCTACACACAATCACATACACACATGTGTACATGCATACCCTGTGATTAACTCAACATAACCCGATTGTGAAGTCAAAGATTTGGGGCCTGTTTTCTTTTCTGATGTACCCCAAATACCTGGCATGGTACCTGACACACAGAGGCACCAGCAGCTATTTGATGAATGTATGTATGTTCTGAAGTATATCAGGAAGGAAATGTACTCACTGACATATATTGCTGCACACCATCCACAAATTTGGGTCCACCTGCTTGCCTTAAATGGATCAATTTTGAGAGTTGCTGATAAGCCACAAATTCATTGAAGAATGTCTTATAACCTATGAGTTTGGCAACCATAAAGCTATCTTGCCAGTCGACTCCCATCATGAAGGCAAAGGGCATGAAGATGTAGGAGCATATTACCTACAAAAAAAAAAGAAGACTTCATTAGAGCAGTGATTTGCTTCCAGTTCTTGGGCCTCATGCCTGAGACCAGATTGTTCCCATTCCCTCTGTGTCCTTAGGCACAGAAATCCCTGTGCCTCCTCTAGCCTCTCTTTATCCTTTAGGAGTAAAGGTTGAAACTGGTCATTTGAAGTAAGGAAGTATTTGGGGGAAGGAGTCAGGAATGAATAATTCTGTATTGGGGGAAGGAGGAGAGAGGGGTGGGAAGTTGGGGGGTTCCTGGTCAGTCTGTACGTGATAGAAGAGTGCACTATAGCCAGTTAGAGTATATTATAGACAGTTCATAAACCAGTTTTATTTTTAACAAAGATTGGCAGAAACGAAAAGGAGGAGGATAGAATTGTACCTCAAAACTCAGTTGTGGGTAGTCAAACATGTTTCCCAACCAGGACAGGGCTGAATTCATAAAAGACAGCAGGGCCAGGAAGGCAATCAAATTCACGGCAATGTTCGCCACCAGGGAGATGGATGAGGATGCTCCCTGTGTTGCAGCTTCTAGAAGATTCCTTGAATCACTTTATCAAAAAATAGCAATTCCAGAATTACTGAAGGATTGTCAGTGGATGGACATCATAGGTGTAGAAATGGCATAATCGGAGCTCATTTGAATGGAGAGACAAACTCTCAGACCCATGTCCTGGCTGAAATACTCACCTGAATTCCATGAAATCCTGAAAGGATTTAGTTTTTGAGTGAAGGTGATGGGCATATGAGTGTCTAAGTGTTATACCACTCTTTTAATTTGGGGAAATAATTTATAATAAAAATTTGGAAAGAATAAAACAGGTTTAAACAAATATATTTGATTAAAAGTGGATTCCAGAGAATATTTATAAAATATTCACAGTATAAGAACTAACAATTCAAGGAAGGTCTGTATATGCATCCATCATCTCATTTAAGAAATGGAATGTCACATCAGCTTTGAGCACTCCCTCATTAATCATATCTTCCTCTCTCTAACCTCAGAGGTACTTGGCCCACTAGGATTTGCTTAAGATTCCCTTTCTTTTTAATTTTCTTTACCCCTGAATAATATATTGTGTTAGTTTACACATGTGCTAGCTTTATAAGTGAAATCCACATATTCCATATATGTACTTTGGCAACTTGCTTTTCCACTCATGGTTATGATTCTCTATATACAAACAATGGATGAATCTCAGAAACATATAGGTTGATAAATTCTGTTATATAATGACAAACTTTTGAACACTCTAAATTCCTTATTTTTTTTCCCACCCCTTTCTCTTTCTTTCAAAAAGAGCAAAAAGTAAATGAACCTAAGAGGGGTTGGGAATATTAATATCACATCTTATCATCCCTATTATATAAGAAACTTCTGGAAATGGTGATCCTATGATTTTCCAACAGTCTTGAATCATGGCCTAATGATGCCTATGTGTGGGTTCAGTTGCTCAGTTGTGTCTGACTCTTTGTGACCCTGTGGACTGCAGCCTGCCAGGCTCCTCTGTCCATGGGATTTTCCTGGCAAGAATACTGGGGTGGGTTGCCATTTCCTTCTCCAGGGGATCTTCCTGACCCAGGGATCAAACCCATGTCTCCTGTGTCTCCTGCATTGTAGGTGGATTCTTTACCGCTGAGCTACCAGGGGAGGCACAATGAACTCTATATATTATATTTAAAATTAACTATCTATTCACCTGAACCTATTATAATATCACAAACCAACTATACTTCAATCTAAAAAAAAGTTAATTAAATGAAATACCTACTCTGGACATTCAAGGAAATGTATTGACATTTAGGTACTGGTAGTTAAAAGAGATTTCCTTGAGTGTTGGAAGAAGATATTTTGGATGAAGTCTACATCGTTATGGGAAATTAAATTCACTTTAATTCACTGTGTTCTCCGATAATAAAATTTTTGCTGCACTTTGAATTTGGACTGGAGCAAACCTCTCCTCCTCCACCCCCAGCCTCCTACTTGGGTAGTAATTAACTATTAACTAGGTGAACTTGTCCTACTTACCCATTTTCCATTTTCATGGCATTCTTGAGGTTTATTTTAGGTGTTTCTGTCTCAGGCCAAAAAAGTTTAGAAATAGCCAATGCTGCAGGTGCAGACATAACTGAAGCAGTTAACAAGTGAGAGGATGAAACCTGTGATTTCAAGAGAAAGACCAGTTTAAGGTTTAGCTTTTCTGTTGTGTTTAGAATGAATGATCCAAACGCCTTACAAGGGAGGAGATGGGCAGGCATTGTTTCTGTGCCAGAAATCAGTGTTTCTTTGAAGGCTTGGAAAAGCTCAATTAGTCATATCCTGGGCATCAACTTGAGAGAAGGGAGGACATGGCATCAATTGACCACATCCTCTTGGAGAAGCACAAATCAAAATTTGACCATTTGAGAAGAGAATTAATCCTGTGTTGTAGGAGCTTTCAAAGAAGATAACTCTACCTCTCTGTTGTTCTTTCGAATGTTCAAATAGCCCCTAAAGCTGTTTCATTATGTCATCAATTCAGGTGAAGGGTATTTGGGGTGCAGGCATGGATACACCCCTCTCCATCTTCCTTTGTGCCTCTACATAATGTCTATTTATTCAGAGTCCCTTTAATCTGAAGTTGTTTTTGTTTTCCTCACTGCAGTTCTGCTTAAACTCTTTCCCTTTCCCTCCCACAACCTCACCTTTTTTCTGGATTCTCTTCCCTGTGTTTCCAGAATTATAGAATCTGCTCCTCCCTCCCCACCCCCATTCCACCCAGCACAGTTTTGTAGGCAGAATTCCTACAGCAATCCATCAGGGCATCAGGGGCATGAGTCAAACCCCTCTTCCTGAGGTCTCCACCCTTTTTGTCTTTCCTCTTCTCACTGATTGGCTCTGTAAGATTTGGATGAAGTCCTGCATCGAAACTTGCGTATCTTATAAGAATTCTTCATCACCTGGACCACGCAACTGCTGTGTTATTCCATGTCTCCACTGGAGGCTGTAAGCTCTGTGCTCGGGGCACGTGCACCAGTTACCATAACATTCTTCAGCCCCATCCCAGAGACCAACTGCTCTCAAACTGGGCTATACAATGAAATCTGAAGACCGAGAAATAATACTGATGCCTGGGTCTCATCCTAAGAGATTCTGGATGAATTACTCTGGGGTACGGGCCTGGGCATTAGGGCTTTTAAAAGCTCCCAGGTGATTCCAATGTGAAGTAGGTTTTGAGAATCTCTGCTGTAAGCCAGGAGTCAGAAAAAGCTTTTTGTAAAGGGTAAATAGTTTTTGCTTTTGGGGCCACAACTACTCAACTCTGTATCATAAAAGCTGCTTAGATAAGGAACAGGAATAGCTGGCTTCCAATTAAACTGTAGTTATTAAAAAAAAAAAACAACAAAGTGATCTAAATTTGCCCCTGGGCCACAGTTTGCTAATCCATGACCTAGATGGCCTGTAACTAGTGTCTGTAATAGTTCAATTTTTTTTTTTACATATTTAAATTTTCACCCGAAGTAACCTCATAATATGAGGTAATGATTGAAATACCAGATTTCATTCTGGTATGGTTGGATATAGTTCATGTTTAGGTGGCTGGGATATGAAGGTGAAACACCAAAGCTCCCTGGGGTCACTCTATTCAAATGCCAAAAGAACTGTGACCATCTTATGGTCACATCTTATGGAACTGTGACCTTGACATCTGGCAGCAGTAGTAAAGGATAGAACTGAAATAACAATAGCAAAGAAAAAAAAAAAGATTGAATTTTTCCATAAGTTAAGCCCAAAACATTCTTACCCCAAAAGAGATGTATGCACCTAAGACACTTCCAGCAATGGTAGAGAACCCAGCAGTCATGATCGCGTGGAGTTCAGACTTGGTGACATATGGTAAATACGGTCGGACCAGCAGAGGAGACTCGGTCTGGAAATACAAAGTGACCAGATTAAACCTTCCCTGAGGAGGAGAGGCTACTAGTCAAAATTCCCTTCCCTACAGCAGGATTTCTAAGAGTGGACTTCAGGCCAGTTCCATCCGCTTGACCCAGGAACTTGTTAGACCCACAAGTTCTCAGAATTACTAAATGGAAAACTCTAGGGCTGGCCCAGCAGCAGTGTTTTAACAAACTTGCTGGTGGTTCTGATGAGTGTTCACATTTAAAAACCTATACCATTAAAAAAAAAACAACCCCCCAAAACCCCCCAAAACCCCTATACCATAAATGTCTGGGTCTTTTGGACTCTAGGGCAGTGTATATACAGAGTCATGTATGAAGTTTGCAAGGCCAGTGTATGTAAGGCTCCTGCCTAGCCTAGGATTGGACTCTGATGACTTGGTACTGTTTTCTAAGGTTGGACAACCATGGGCCAAGTAACTCTATCCAGTAGCCTGGCCTTAGGAACTATGATTCCCAAACCTCTGTGACTTTCCATCTCCCAGGTTCATCTCAACATACCCTAACCTCTTTGCTGATATCATAGGGAAACAAAGACACAAGTATTAAAAATTACCAGCATTAACAAGGACAGGGCCCTTCCCTAATTGAAAATCAGAGAACCACTCCTACTTGCATGGAAAGGCATCTATTAGAGTATAGTTGTAAAGGCTTGAGTTCCATTAAGGAGGGCAGGTGGCCTACGGTGTGGGACTCTCCGTAAATAATAGCCGTACTTTTAGCATATTAAGTACATACCAAGTATCAAATTGAGCACCACAGGAGCATGTGTGCAATTTTACAATTTTCCCCTCATTATTTCTAATTGTTCTATAAGACTGAGTGTGTTGAGCTTCCATTTATGGACTAAATAGAAACTCAGTACCTGAGCCCTCTTACCCTGCAGGTAGGAGTAATCAACTCAAGATGGTGCCCTAATTAGTCCTGAGGGATTTTATGGCTATAATTATAATAATTTCAACTACTAGGGAAAAAGTATGAGCCTAAAGACTCTGCTCTAGGCTAGTAAGCTAGGCTTACCAATCAGAAGGCTGAGCTGCCTGGAGCAATTGTTAAACCTTTTAATTTGGGGCCATGTGTTTTTCGGGGTGACTTGATTTTTGCTTCAAATTCAGTTTCCTTGCACAGCCATTCTAGCAAGTATTCATACCTGGTTTCCTTGGTGTGTGATTCCATTCTGCCTGAAGTTATGTATCCTAAGTGATGAGGATTTCTTACCTATATACCCCTTAGGAATGCTGCCATTTTGAGAGATGCCCCCTGGCAACATATTTCTTTGCTTAAATGGACTTTGGGCAAAAATGCATGTGATGGATAAGGAAGGTGAAAATGCTCTTGCTCATCAGTATTTTTCTTTAGGCTCAGCAGAGACTGTTGGACAGTTCAGATAAAATGAGAATGAGCTTAAGTACTGATATGGCTGCATGGTTCTTGGGGGAAAGCCTTTCTTGGTCTCTTTCATTGCCACAAGCTTTATATTAATACTAGAGAATGAGAGGCTGCTTGTTACATATTTGCAGCTTCAAGACGAATGGTGAACTCCATCTGAGTAGATGAGCTGCCAGCCTTTGACGGGTGGGTCAGAAACCTCAACAACTCAGTTAACTCAGAAAAGATTTGTTGAGAATCTGTACATGAGAAGCCCTGTGCTTTGATAAAATGATTCAGTTTTTCTTCCTCTCCATAAACTTCCAAGAACCCAAATTCCACACTAGGGCATGGACTCTCTCAGAAGAGCTCTCTCTCTCTGTCTCTCTCTCTCTCCCCTTGGAGTCTGCACATTATTAATATTGAGGGTTCCTTATCTTGATACCTTCCTCCTACAGTAAAGGAAATAACACTGTCATTAAAAATTTTTTTTCTTTTTCTGGAAAGAGTATCTATTTTAGCAGATGTTTTGTTTTTTGATATTACAACTTACCTGTCCAACAAATATATTGCCAGAAGCAACTACAGATTCAACAGGAGATGTTCCCATAGTCACTAGCATTACCCATCCAACCTAAAAGGCAAAAAAGGATAAACTCAGTAAAGAACTGTTTGTACACACAGAACTTCAAAGTAGGGATAAAAATCTTTAAAATGGAGGAAAATACTGAGGACTTCAACAATTGTACTAAACTTGAATATATATACCTTATTGATAGGGACAGAATAAAGGGACAAAGTAGGTGATTAAATAGCAAATCACACTAAGGAATTGCAAATAGAAAAAAAAAAAAGGGAGACTCCTGTAAGTTAATGATTACTCAGGAAAGCAGATTTGCTTAAGCATAAAACCAAGCAAGCTTGCTTAGCAACAAGTCCTGCAACAGAAGTACAAGTCATGCCCCCCAAAATAAAACAGTGGTGGCATGAGACCCACATCCTGCCCAGTGAGTTCAGTAACATGCTCTCTGCACACATAAAAACAATAATTTAAGAAAAGGTGACACTTCAAAGTGAAAGACCCTCATTGTACTGAGATCTGAAATAATTTTCCGTAGTGCCATGACAGTCTTGGCTTGACCCGGTGGGGACAGAAAACTCCTCTGTCAAGCATGGAGAAGGAGCTGATGATGGAAGCATGGTGTCTACTCAAGAATGAGGAAGAACATGGTCTTCTCCCTCTCTGCACTTTTCCTTTGCTTATAAGACTGTAGCCCACTAGTTTCTCAGGGCGTGGCGCCTTCTTGCCTGTCTGCTTGTAAAACTCATAAGTGTCCGATTCTAATAAATAATGCCTTTCGCTGAATTCTTTCTGCACTGAGAAAGGACTGGAGCTCCTTGGTGTCCCTTAAAACGCCACCTAGCGTTTTCATTATATAGTGCATAAAGCAGGCTGATCAAATCTTATTTGAATGGTAAGTCTGAGTCAATATGCCAGCAAATTTGAAAACTCAGCAGTGGCCACAGGACTGGAAAAGGTCAGTTTTCATTTCAATTCCAAAGAAAGGCAATGCCAAAGAATTTTCAAACTACTGCACAATTGCACTCATTTCACACGCTAGCAAAGTAATGCTCAAAATTCTCCAAGCCAGGCTTCAACAGTATATGAACCGTGAACTTCCAGATGTTCAAGGTGGATTTAGAAAAGGCAGAGAAACCAGAGATCAGATTGCCAACATCCGTTGGATCATTGAAAAAGGAAGAGAGTTCCAGAAGCATCTACTTCTGCTTTATTGCCTATTCCAAAGCCTTTGACTGTATGGATCACAACAAACTGGAAAATTCTTGAAGAGATGGGAATACCAGACCTCCTGACCTGCCTCTTGAGAAATCTGTATGCAGGTCAAGAAGCAATACTTAGAACTAGACATGGAATAACAGACTGGTTCCAAATTGGGAAAGGAGTATGTCAAGGCTGTGTATTGTCATTCTGCTTATTTAACTTATATGCAGAGCACATCATGAGAAATGTCGGGCTGGATGAAGCACAAGCCAGAATCAAGATTGCCGGGAGAAATATCAATAACCTCAAATAGGCAGATAACACCACACTTACAGCAGAAAGCAAAGAACTAAAGAGCCTCTTGATGAAAGTGAAAGAGGAGAATGAAAAAGTTGGTTAAAGCTCAACATTCAGAAAACTAAGATCATGGCATCCAGTCCCATCACTTCATGGCAGATAGATGGGGAAACAATGGAAACAGTGACAGACTTTCCTTATTGGGCTCCAGAATCACTGCAGATGGTGACTGCAGCCATGAAATTAAAAGACACTTGCTCCTTGGAAGGAAAGTTATGATCAACCTAGACAGCATATTAAAAAGCAGAGACATTACTTTGCCAACAAAGGTCCATCTAGTCAAAGCTATGATTTTTCCAGTATGGATGTGCGAGTTGAACCGTAAAGAAAGCTGAGCACCAAAGACTTGGTGCTTTTGAACTGTGGTGTTGGAGAAGACTCTTGAGAGTCCCTTGGACTGCAAGGAGATCCAACCAGTCTATCCTAAAGGAAATTAGTCCTGAATATTCATTGGAACGATTGATGTGGAAGCTGAAACTCCAATATTTTGGCCACCTGATATGAAGAAGTGACTCATTGGAAAAGACCCTGATGCTGGGAAAGATTGAAGGCGGGAGGAGAAGGGGTTGACAGAGGATGAGATATTTGGATGGCATCACTGACTCGATGGACATGAGTTTGAGCAAGCTCCAGCATTTGGTGATGGACAGGGAGGCCTGGTGTGCTGCAGTCCATGGGGTCTCAAAGAGTCGGACAAGACTGAGTGAACAGAACTGAACTGAAGTCTGAGTCATTGTATATTCTTTGAACACTGTACAATAAATGTCTCTTGATATGTCTATTTTGTATAAGTAATGTCTTGATTTTTTTTTCGGGTAATAAGTTATAATATTTTCTAACAGTCATGTCAGTCTTCACAGCACTCCAAGGACTATTTTAAGCCCTTGTTCTAGTGATGAATTTAATCCTTATAATAACCCTCTCAGGAGGTCCTATATTTAGACACATTTTACAGAAGAGGAAACCAAGGAACAGAACAGTTAAGTTGTTCTGTCAGAGATTGCTTAGTTAATAAGTAATGGGGGGGTAGTTGAGGTTTGGCCTTTTCTACCTGAGTCTCAAACATGGTTGACAGTCCCACTTTTGTAGTGGTTCTTCCAACCAGAGGCTGTAGTGCCAACCTGGGGATGGGGACTTTCTGTTGCATCCGCTCTCCTTCCTTCCTGCTTCAACATGAAATACTGGAATACTAAGTGTTTAAATTGACAGTCAGAAAAGTATGCCTTCTGGCACTCTTGCTGAAACCTTTAATCCTGCTGGTATTCTGGCTCTCTCCCCATTTTATTTATTTACAGGGATCAAAGAAGGGTTGTGGCTGTGCCCAAAACCTCTATATGCTGCCTTGTTCTCGAGTGCATTTAAACTAACTTACAAATTACTGAGTTTTGTGATATAACATGATGTAGGACTGACAGTTGTTGGGGGCAGCTGGACTGAGATGAACTTTTCAGACCTAAAAAATAATTTTTGCATGCTGACAAAACCCCCTCATGAGAGAAGAGCAGCTTTCCTTTCTTCCTTTGATTCTCTAGCAACTCCTAGACAAGGAGAATCCGTTTGGGTTATCATCTGAGGGTAAGCAGTGACTCTGTGTAAGGCATGGGTGGATAGTTAAGATGAAAGGACTATCTGGTCCTGACTTCTTGAAGTCAATTCTTTGGCTAAAGTAGTAGCTGCTGAGGTTTCATGAAGATGTCCAGGGAATCTCAAGTCACAGTGTTACTAGAAGTCCTGGAGATAAAATACGCTCTGTGGATCCATGGAGGATTTGGGGTTTGAATCTAATACCTTGGGGTAGGAATGGATCTCGGTACGAAGGGAAAGACATTTTGTAAAAATCCAGATAAAAGACATTCAAGACTTTGACCCTGAGATAATCAGCTCTACCTCTGTCACCCACTTCCTTGTAGTCCCGGTACCTTTCTAATGATCCACTGCATCAATCCGAGGTAGTACAACATGGACATCACAGTGCTGAAGAAAATCACAATGGGCAGGACCTGGGGGTGGGTGGAGGACAAGAGTGGCCACAGGTTAACACTGATCCCAGCAGTATTAGTAGGTTTCAGATCAATCTCCTCCTTTCTGCCTCCTTTTTCCCCTCTGAAATGTCATCAAAATACTGGAAACTTCTCTTGAATAAACAACACTTTTATCAGGCAACTTCCTCATCTACAAACAGTCTCTTCTAATTTGTTCAGGATAAACTTGAGTGTATTTCATAGGAAACTTAAAAAAAAATCCTACTATGATGGGCCTTCCTTATTTCAGTTTCTAGAGAACAGTGACATTTTGGGGAGGAAATTTATAATAATTAGATCAAGAAACTGAAAACCACTGGCAGATATCCTTGTCATTCTGATATTCAACAGACATAGGAGTCACTACTTATTATCACAGCAACCTGGATCAAAGTTAACTGCGAGCAACCTCAGGTCTTTATTCATAGTAGTGACACAGTAGCTACTTAAATAGTGCCTCCTATAGAGCAAGCATTCATGCATTTAGTTTTTAGAATAATGAATATTTTACTTATAGATTTTTGAATCATTATACAAAGATTAGACTTTGGGACGAGTCTACTTCTGTGTTAATGAAGGTTGTCTTTTTCTAGATCTTCTTTTCCTAATGCTCTTTGGATGCCTTCCGTGCAGCTTGTGTTTCTACAGGAGGCAGTTTCTACCCTGCATGGACCACAATGGGTTGTAGTCTGGATCTCTCACCACCACTTCTCCATTGTTCCCTTCCCCTCTGTTCCCAGCTAAATGGCCAGGAACAAGCTGCCACCAGAGACACAGAATGACCGAGGACAATTTGTACAGGATCTAATTTAGAAAAATCTATTAATAATACATAGCAAAAGACTTTTTGTGCCCTTATTCAGAATGCACTCATTTATGTGCTTTTATTGGCTTTAATGGGCAGGCAGAGTCTTCCTGAGAGCTTCAGGGAGTTAAAGGGGCTCATCTCACTAACGTTCCCACAGGGAATCTATTTTGGCAGAAAGGATGCTCTGGGGGAGAGGACAGGTGTCCTTGTTGGTGGTGGTGGTGGGGAGGTCTGAAGACAGTGGTACAACCTGAACAGCAAGTTCCTCCTTCTTTGTGATTTTATTTTTTATAATTCTGGATCCAATTTATGATAGGAACATATTTCTATCTCAATTTGTAAACACTGGACCTTTCAAAGATGGCTTAGTGCCGGGAGCCATTATGGGAGGTCCCGCCCGTGACGAGGTCATGAAGAAAATACCGGGTAGGCAAGGCCGTCCGGGACCCCATCCATGACGAGGTCACGAGGTAAAAACCTGACAGGCAAGGCCGTCTAGGATAAGGGACCCTCCAGGTTGGCCTCGGCCTCTACCCCACCCTGTATCCTCCCCGCTTTTCTGCTGTTGTTCTTGTTTGCCCTGCTGCGGATTCTTGTGTTGCCTGCTGAGAGCTCTCCTGCTCCTCTTTCACTGAATGAGGACCAACTTAAAACCCTAACTAATAAATCTCCTGGACGCTGGTACCCTATGAAGGGGCCAGGGATGAAGGAAATGCTTCAATTCAAACACTTTTACTGGCATTCTGGCTTGTTTGATAAATATGTGCTCTCATTGCACAAAATGCTCATGATTGCTCTAAACATCCTAAGCACAGGAATGTTCTAAACATTCCTAACAAAAGAAACTATTAAGCACAGGTCCCTCCGCGGGGTGAGAAAAGCCCCACAAATATTATAGCCGCATATACGCCTAATAGAAAATAGTTTAGATAGAGATTAGCTGGTGACTTCTTGCAGGTAATTAACTTTTGGACTAAGAGCCTGTTTTGTGCCATATCTGCTGTTTTTGCAATCCTTTGCATTTCTGTTCTGTGAAAATGTAATCCTATCTAGTTCCCTTGGAGGTGACACCTAATGAAAGAAAATAGATTAACCACAAAAAAGACAGGGTCGGCTACTAAAGTTGCTTAAAAGTTGCACCAGGTGCAAGCCATAAATTGTCAACAGGCCTGAAAGCCAAAAGATATTATACATAGAGATTAACCATAAAAAAGGCCCTAATAGGCACAGAGCCCTTTGGGGGATGAAGAAGCCCTATTAAAAAATACAAAACATATTGTTTTAAAAGTGGTTATTGGATCAACGTTTGATTGATGTTAATGTGCTGAGGTTGTGCAGTGGAAACTATTGTTAATATAGTTGGAGATCTAGAAAAATAAGAGTTTAGCCCTAGTGTAAAAACAATAAGATAATTGTTAATTTTAACCAGGAGTGCTAAACAGGGGCTCCCTCACCAGAGCCGCAGAGTCTTTGTGTGTTAAACTTTTTAGATAAATTTAGCTGAGAATTTCTGCAAAAAGACTGTCTTTTATGTTAACAGGATTGTATTTCTATTATGTTGCAATTTGCTGTATCATGAGACTGCCACTTTTCTGTTTTCTGCTAAGCTCAAGGCCAGAAGATAATGTGCAAAAAAATCTATGGGAAAAGATTCTCGTAAACAAAAAATATACACAGCACACCTGGCTTCGTGAAGGACAAGCTGATGTAACGTTAAACTAAGTCTGTATGCTTATCTGCCCCTTAGAAATGTACCAACTTAGGGTATAAAGGCTACGGCCAAAAATAAAGCAACTGCCAGACTCTGCTGCACATTCCTGGTCTGGTCTCTTTCTTTCTCTCTCTCTCTCTCCCTCGCAGACTTGGCCCTATCAAGGCCGGTCCTACGTGTCTCTCTTTCCCCGGTGCCGTTCATCCTGAGGGTTCCCCTGGATCCTGCTGGGTATGGACCCCAGCAGCTTAGTTATTTCAGCACCAAAGTATCAAATCAGTAGTTTAAAAAAAAAGATTCAGCATAGCAGTTGGCTGAGGAAATTTGGAGATAAATGGAGTCCATGAGTGAGAAAACAATAAAAAAGTGTAGGAACAATAGCATACCATAAAAAAAGAAATCTGAAGAAAAAGCCGAATGCTTTTTCTGACTCATCAACAGGATTTGTAGGGACTTCCCAGAGGAAGGTGAGCTTCCGGGGGCTGTGGGAGGCCTGGGAGAGAATTGATTAGGCCTGACCTTGGGGCTAAGTCGCCAAGTTGCCTTTCCCCTGTAAAATAACATCCTTCCTGTGGTTGGGAGAAGGCCCGGCCTGCAGGCCTGCCAAGGTGAAGGCGGTGCTGAAGGAAGGAGGGGAAGGTTTAGCTCGGGGATGGTTCTGTAAGAACAGAGGTTGGTGTGGGTGACCAGCTGTCCCAGTTTGTCTGGGATTAAGGAGTTTCCTGCGTGCAGAGCTGTCACTGAGCCTGGACCAGGAAGGCATTAGCAGCCATATGTCTATTCATTGCCAGGTACCTCATGTTCTTTCCCCTGAAATCTCAGATCCTATTACCCCATATGAGCTTTCATAAATATATCAGCAAATGTTACGCAACTCCCCAAAGTACAGGCATAGCTTGTTTTATTGTCCTTCTTGCATGTTGTGTTTTTCACAGATTGAAGAACTGTGACACTCCTTCATTGAGCAAGTCTATCGGCGCCATTTTTCCAACAGCATTTGCTCACTTTGTCTTTGGGTCACATGTTGGTAATGCTCACAAGATTTCAAACTTTTTCATTATTACTATGTTGGTTATGGTAATCAGTGATCTTTGATGTTACTGTTATGATTGTTTTGGGTTTTTTTTAGCAATAAAGTGATTTTAAATTATGTACTTCTTTTAGACATACTGCTATGTCACACTTAGTAGATGACAGTAGAGTTGTAAACATAATTTTTATGTGCACTGGGAAACCAAAAAATTTGTGTGATCACTTTATCATGACATTCACTTTACTGTGGTGGTCTGGAACTGAACTTGCAACATCTCTGAGATTTGCCTATGTTTCGATATTTCTGATTTCCTCTATGTGTTCTCTTTAATGTTTAAAAAGTCATTTATTTATTTGGCTGCATTGTGGCTTAGCTGTGGCAGGCAGGATATTTGATCTTCATTGTGGCATGCATAATCTTAGTTGCGACATGTGGGATCTAGCTCCCTGACCATTGAACCCGGGTCCCCTGCATTGGGAGCTCAGTGTCTTAGCCATTGGACCACTAGGGAAGTCTTCCTTAATGTTATAATAACAAAATAATATGTTTTCAGCCCACTGACTTCAGGTAAATTGTAAAGGAGAAAGGATGGTGCTGTGCTGTGCCCCTGTGACATGCCTGGGTTCTGGTCAGCTAGGGTCTATCTGAACATCTACAGATGGAGAAGTCACTGAAAAGGAAATGTCTACACAGAAAAAAAGTGTTTGGTTTTACCTTGAATGCAAAAAAGTGGTCTGTATATTTCTCACCAAAGACAAATGAAGCACCAGCATCAGTGTACCCCAGGAACGTCTGAATTACAGAAAGGAAAAGAGCAGATCATTACAAACACTGAAACAGTTTTTATCATCCACAAGACCAACCAGGCTCTGCAGAAGGTGAGGACCCAGAGAACTTGTGGAGAGACTTGGAGAGCTAATTTTCTCAACCTCCCCCCTCCAGCAGATGGCCGGGAAATATATTTTAGGACTGTAGCTGCATACAGATTTCCTGGTATTTCTGACATTCACTATGACTCCAGGGTGCTAAAGAATAAGCTGGGTGTGATAATTTGCTCCAGAAGACATAGATGGTACATGGGAGGTACTAGTTACTACTGGATGTATAGAAGTTTGTTTCCTTGTTTGGGGAAGCATCTTAGAAGAGTGGCACCTGGGACAGGATGCAGGGGTCAAATGAGATAGAGAAGTGATGTCATGGGTACTTAGTCACTCAGTTGTGTCCGACTCTTTGCGACCCCATGGACTGTAGCCTGCCGGGCTCCTTTGTCCATGGGGATTCTCCAGACTAGAACATTGGAGTGGGTTGCCATGCCCTCCTCCAGGGGATTTTTCCAGCCCAGGGATTGAACCCAGGTCTCCTGCAGGGAAGCCCATGATATGGGTAAGAGACAACCAAAATAATAATGAACTTGGCAGATTAACATATTCCACATAAACAAAATTATTTGTCTAACTCATGCTATGAAATTAAAATTTGAATCAACCAAATAGGAAAAGGAGTACATCGAGGCTGTATATTGTAACTGTGTTTATTTAACTTAAATGCAGAGTACATCATGAGAAATACTGGGCTGGAGGAAGCACAAGCTGGAATCAAGATTGCTGGGAGAAATATCAATAAGCTCAGATATGCAGATGACACCACCCTTATGGCAGAAAGTGAAGAACTAAAGAGCCTCTTGATGAAAGTGAAAGAGAAGAGTGAAAAAGTTGGCTTAAAACTCAACATTCAGAAAGCTAAGATCATGGCATCTGGTCCCATCACTTCATGACAAATAGATGGGGAAACAGTGGAAACAGTGGCTGACTTTATTTTCCTGTGCTCAAAAATCACTGCAGATGGTGACTGCAGCCATGAAATTAAAAGATGCTTACTCCTTGGAAGGAAAGTTATGACCAACTTAGACAGCATATTAAAAAGTAGAGACATTACTTTGCCAACAAAGGTCCGTCTAGTCAAAGCTACAGTTTTTCCAGTAGTCATGTATGGATATGAGAGTTGGACTATAAAGAAAGCTGAGCACTGAAGAATTGATGCTTTTGAACTGTGGTGTTGGAGAAGACTTTTGAGAGGCCCGTGGACTGCAAGGAGAGCCAACCAGTCCATCCTAAAGAAGATCAGTCCTGGGTATTCATTGGAAGGACCGATGTTGAAGCTGAAACTCCAGTACTTTGGCCACCTGATGCAAAGAGCTGACTCATTTGAAAAGACCCTGATGCTGGGAAAGATTGAAGGCGGGAGGAAAAGGGGACGACAGAGGATGAGATGGTTGGATGTCATCACCGACTCAATGGACATGAGTTTGGGTAAACTCCGGGAGTTGGTGATGGACAGGGAGGCCTGGCGTGCTGCAGTCCACAGGGTGGTAAAGAGTCGGACATGACTGAGTGACTGAACTGAACTGAATGCAGATAAATAAATTTATTTCTGACATACCTTAAGGATTATATTCAAATGTTAAAAGCACTATAAAAAACAAGGTAATACTTTGAACTGAACTTACTTGAACTTGTTTGCCCAACCAATCAAAAGCCATAAATCCAGGTTCTGTCCTTAGTATCAAAAGCCCAAGAAGAAACTGTAACCCAATTCCCCAAAAGACAGGCCTCCAGTAAACCTGTACAGAAAAAAGAAGAGACATTTTATTAGAAAATGAATGTTGAACTCAGCATAAATTACCAGAGGATCACTATTTTCTTGGAAGCTTCTCAGATATGGCTTGTGACCCACCCTCTTTCAGAGGCCAAAGCAGCTGTGAGCAAAGAATCCCTCCTTAGAATTATACTAAAAATTTCAGAATTGTACTACTTCTTCTTAAACCTGAGTTTAAGCCTTCAGTCCTGGAAACGTATGTAACCACTTTGTCATGATAAAATCACTTAGACATGAAGAGTAGTTTAAGTGGAGTCACTGAAGGAGGAAGGATCTGGTCTTCCGGTCATGTGGTAAATCTTAGATACATATAAATATTTTCCCATCTGGAAAATGGAAAGGCTGAACATGACTTCTCTGTGTGTCCAAGGTTTGTTGACCTGACAATTTGTAAATGAATTAAGTGAAATTCCACCCTGTGGAGGGGCTTTCATTTCACTGTAAAAGGAACCAATTAACTCTAATGCAGTCTAAGGGAGTGCAGCATGTAAATGGACATTCAAGTGCTTTCATTTTTGGTGCAGAGATGAGTGTTCTGCAAAGAACTATGGGACTGGAGGCACAGAAAACAGCGGAGATGTTCACCTAAACAGGGAAAGCAATTTGGATCTTATCAAGTGGCTTTGGTCTTTGATTAATGCTCTTTTTTTTTTGGATCAATCACTCAGCCAGTAAAGTCTTCAGACTTTCAGCTAGTAAAGTTTGCTGTTGTGAATCATACGTGAAAGTTTTACTATCTCAAAATTCTTGCCAATTTAGGGGGTTCCGGGATTATAAAACAAGGATGAGAATTGAATTCAGTGTAAACAAAACTGCTTAAGGACAAATTTTTGGAGTAAAATAGCCTCAATGGCAAATAGAAATTTGATAAACTGCAGAATCCAATGGTAGAATATTGTTATTTACTGGCCTGAAGAAATTTGGATCAAAATGGATGAGTTTTCTTTGTATGTGTGTTTAATGGGGGGGATGGTGGTACAGAAGTAGAAATCAGACTTGACAGAAAAGAATATCTCACTGGTTGAACAACTGGAAAATTACTGAGAATAAAGACTGTAGAGTAATAGAACTATTAACATTCAGGAAAAGGGCACCTTAGCTATTTAAAATATCATAGCAAGGTAAGAAAAATATGGAATAGCAGTTCAATTCTTTCATACTCATTACTTTGAGCAATTTACACATGAGGAAAAAAAAAGGGAAAAAAAAAAGATTGATTTCATACTTACTTTGGTTGGGTGCTTGGAAAATAGAAATGTCAGGGAAGTGTACATTATGAGTCCTCCAAAAGACACCAGCTGCTGTTGGCCCAGTTTAGCAGTGTCAAAGACCAGCCAAAGAATAACTGCCAGGATCAGGCAGCCCCATATCACCCTAAGAAAACCAGGAAGGATGCTTGGCATCATTTTTTGTGCTACCTTGGAAATCTTAATCAGGCTTAAATGTACAAACAACACATATTGAGTAACACATCCTGGCACTTGGACATTATGCTTCTAGAAATTGCAAGAGACTCTTTTTGGGTGTAGCTAGAAAGGCACGTAGTCAAAAAATGAAGCAATGTATCGCCAGTACTCCACAACTCTTGGACTCTTTACTGGGGCAGTATTCATAAAGCGGTCAGAGAGGAGAAAAGATGCCTGGAGAGGAAGTCTGGTGATTTCTTCCTGAGAGCTGTTGGGCATTCTCTCCTCCATTTAGGGAGATGGGTGAAGCATCACCTTCTTCCTTTTAAGGAAGAACTTGAAGTGTGTCCTCTGCACTGGGGGACCCACCCAAGCCTCGGAGAGCTAAGTTGGACTTTAGACCTGGTTCTGACTCCCTGGAGAACCCAGTGGACACAGCAAGAGTGATTCAGTAGATGGCAGAGCCGGAGAGGATACTCTGGAGAGGATGCTCTGTTGGGATTGTAAACCCTGGTCCTTAGGCCAAGAATGTGTGAACTTTCTTGGTAGATCCCATGTTGGCCATCCTGGGGAGAATAGATTCTGGGTGCTACCCTGTAGGGCCACCTGGAGACAGGGGGGGCACCCAAAGAGACAGGCTGAAAGAAAAGCCCTGAACGGTCACCTGCAGGACAGGGGTCTTATAAGAGAGAGTTGATTTTACTAATTCACAGACCTTTCCTCCAAAAGAAGCCAGCTTCATGCCCAGAGAGAAAGTCACCCCTTCAAGTCAGAACCATCCCAACTTTTAGACAACATTTTATCATTTAGTGGCACTTGAAATGAAGGCAGTTTGTAGGGGCATTTGAGTACATCTTGCATGAATCACTGCCTGATCTAGGCCTTCATGTCCTGCTTGTAAAATGAAGGTTAAAAAAAATTTTTTTTAATGGATTATTCCGTAGGTTGTTTCTAGCTTCAGTATCCCATCAGTGATGAAGCAATTTCAGAATAAATCTATGGAACAGTGTTGGAAAAGACTAACATCTCTCTCAACCACAACAGAAGAACTGAGTGCATTTACCACTTCAGCCAGAACCAATGGCTGTCCAGTAGCCTTTGGCCTGGAGACAGGAACCGAGCTATCTGAGACTCATATTTGGCCATGAAGTGATCCCAGACCACAAAGAAGATGGCAACCACGGTGATCACGAAAAGAGGAAGGGCTCTGTGAAAGTTCATCACACAGGCTGCGATCACCAGGGCCAGGTAACCTGTGCAGGAAGCAAACACAGACAGTGAACATCACCAGTCAGCTGGAGACCAGCCTTCAGCACTGATCTGGCTCAGCCAAAGGCAGGGCCCACCAGGAAATCATTGAACACAGGGGTGCTCTTGACATAGCTATTGACCCTTCTGATGATAAGGGTTGTATTTTGGGTTAAATTCCTTTATTTAAAAAAAAAAATAGTCTCCCAAGAATGCTAGAAGGATAGGGTGCCAGGTTTTTTTCTTAAGGAAACTTCTGAATTCCTGAATCTTATTGCTTGATCACTGGGGCTCTTGCTTAGTGCGTGCATGCTAAGTCACTTTAGTGCTAAGTCCAACTCTGTGCAACGCTATAGGCTACAGCTCCCCAGCTTTTCTGTCCACAGAATTCTCCAGGCAAGAATACTGGAGTGGGCTGCCATGCCCTTCTCCAGGGGATCTTCCCAACCTATTGATCCAACCCGGGTCTTCTGCACTGCAGGCAGATCCTTTACCATCTGAACCACTAGGGAAGCCTCTTGCTTAGTACTGACTACTTTTTCTGATACCCAGACTCAGCAGATGAGCTTCTACAGAGAAAGGCCAGGCATCAAAGCAACCACTGGCAAAAATTATTGAATTTCCTGGTTTGTGGCCCAGATTTGGCCTAAACTTGAGTAGGAAATTCTCTGAGTACCACAACACTGATATGCTACAGAATCTCTAAAAGAAAGAGGTGGGTGATGACCAGGCTGATAGCTTTGGAAGAGAAGATTCTGGGATAAGAACACAAGGTTTTTCATTAAAAGCTGGCAAACACGGCTTTGTTTTCAAGTTAAATTTGGCCTGCCACTTGTTTTTGTAGGTGGCAAGTACAGTTGTATTTGTATATTTGTATTTGTAGTCTACAAATAAAGTTGCCTTGGCACATGGCCACACCATCTGCTTACTTTGTACTACAATGGCATAGCTGTGTGGTTTTGAGTATGGTCTGCAAAATACTACTTGGGCTGGTAGAAAGCAAGCAAGCAAGCTTTCAACCCTGATGCTCCCTTGTTCTGGCAGTGTGAGACCGGAAAACCACTGACCTCTTGGGGTCAGCCATCTTGGACTAATGTCCATAGACTTGGGTGGGAGGGCTCACATTTCATAGACAGTAATCTTCTTTGAAATGGGCCCTGGAGCCCTTTGTTTGGAGGGAGTCAAAGCAGGACACCTGCTCATCTGTGAAGACACCTTGGTCTTGCTTTCAGGTAGGAGGAGAGGGCTGCATGACCCTAGGCTCCTCCTTGTTCTGTTTTCATATAAAGCATTAATTGATTGGTTATATCACCACTTCAATTAGGTTGCTGCCTTGTGATTATCACCATTTTTCCAGTTACCTGAATTTGCATTATCCAACCCTCAAATCCATACCACAATAACAAAGACCATGGGAATAGGTGATCTTAAAAAATCAGCTGCTGGCTGCCTAAACAGGACATGGGGCTTCCCCCTGGTGGCTCAGGGGGCAAAGAATCTGCCTGCAGTGCAAGAGACCTGGCTTCAATCCCTGCGTCGGGAAGATGTCCTGGAGGAGGGCATGGCAGCCCCCTCCAGAATTCTTGCCTGGAGAATCCCATGGACAGAGGATCCTGGCAGGCTAAATTCTTGGACTCTATACAGTCTATAGGGTCACAAAGAGTTGGACACAACTGAAGTGACTTAGCACGCAGAACAGCTATCTACATGGGCATTTCAAGCCGAGACCCACCACTCAGGAGCTTTCTGGTGAAATTCTTTCCTCTCTGGATGACTCAGAGATGATTCAGGGAAGGAAATACTTATTTGTTTTCTACAGAAAACTGATATTTGAGAGAACCTGGAAAAGAGACACTAGTATCTCATCCCCTTTTGCTACTTACCTGCTATTAAAATGCCCCAGATGATGTACCAAAGGGTTGTTTTGTGTTCCCTACAAAAATCAGACATCCTCCCACACATCCTTCCCAGGCACCTGTAACAAGACAAAGCAAGAAGCAGGCAGATGTAAACACCACATACACGACATATCCTGGCATGCTAAAGCTATAGCAGATTAGGCTTTGTAAATCATCAGGCAAACAAATTCATGAGGTTTGTGTCATACAAAATAAAAATAAGAAATTCCTTTCATTTTAGACCAAAATCAGCCATGGTTTGGCTCAACCTTTGCTGCATGGATGTGCCAAGCCATGAAGGATTATGGAGATGCAGAAAATGTGCTCCCAGAAATAAAACAGGGGACAGGATAACCAACCAAAAGCTGAGAATGAATCACAGGATGAGACTGTTTCTCACTAGGCTAGATCACCCCCTCTCTAGTGGAAGGGTGACTGTCTTCACAAGATGCTTGAAAAGTGACGTAGGATTTGGGGGATTTGAGGGCTGTCGACCAATGGGTTGTGATATAGCTTTCTCAGAAGGTTCTGGAATTGTTGATGTCTTTGTTTCTGCTCAGAGTTTTGTTACAGGGTGGCGTGGAGTGTGCAAGCCATGTGTGCATCTGATCACTTCTTCCAAGGAAGATGTTGTACACCAGTAAGGGAGTCCGGAGAGGTCACCGGTGGTACCCACAACAACTGTCCTCCCTTCTCCCGGGTGTTCCCGGGCCCCCGCGCTTCCTTTGAACCCTGGCTTCCCTGCCTACACCTTTTCCCACGGTGTGCCTCCCAGTGCAGGCCTCTCCTCTCCTACTTGAGGCTAAATGGAAGGAATTTACTTACACATTTAATCATGACCACTTTCGGCCACTGGACAGGGTTTCTAAAATAACCCTTTCTCCCGTATAAGAAGATTCACAATCTCCAGGAGCTCAAAGGACTCAGCCCCCAGCTAGGACCTCCCATGCCCTTGGTAAACATTCTCCAGTTCCCGTCCCTCCAGCAGTCATGCCCACATGTCCATGTCACAGTCCCCTTCACGGTTCAGGGCACTGCTCAAGCCCTTCGCTTCTGCAAAGCCTTCTTGCATTTCCTCAGAGGTAGTCCTCTGCAACCTATTCCTACTATCTCCTTTGATTATGTTTTGTTACGAAGACTTGACTGACTGTAACTTCATGGAGAATAGATGTCTGAGCCCAGCATCGGCAGCTTGGACACTGAGTGCTTGACAGGCCTCTGTTGAATTCTTAGATAAATGAAATGGGAGTTCTTATTGCTTTTCTGGAACAATATTTTACAGCTGTGGACCCATTCATGAGTTATGAAGTTTGTCATACAGTGTGTGATAACTGTCCTTAAACAAAAGAATAGGACATCTGAGAGTATATCACACATAGTGATGACAGGCATTATTTCATGAAAATTTTGTCTTAGGTATGTGTATGAATAGGTGTACTGAGAATTAGTGACATTGTTCTAGAACATGTTAAGAGAATATAAGTACAATAAAGACTAAATTTTCTGTGGTTTAACTTAGAACAGGCTGCTGATACATTGTCCTCAGTTGTGGATATAGTGTTATAAAGCAGCAGAGTCAGACAGCAACATTGAATAGAGCACATCCATCTACTCTAGGTCATATTTATCAGATTGTTTAATTGCAGGGAGTGTGTATAGTCCATTACGGTAACCTGACACTGCAAAAAAAAAGGAAGTGGCTGGAAATAGTCGCTTTGGCCATTTGGTTATCTAGACTGAATGACTCCAAATCTCTTGGTGGTGGTTTTTCCATCCATTAACACTGATGTACCTCTGACCACCCAAGAGAATCTCTTGGCCCCAAGGGTCAGAGATTCTTGAACTCAAATGAGGATGAAACCAAATTCAGCTTTCCAGCATGGTAAAAATTCTTTGTAAGAAGGAAATTTTTATTGGCGTATAAGCTGCTTTACAAGGTTGCATTAGTTTCTGCTGCCCAGGAAAGTGAATCACCTATGTGTGTACGTAACCACTCTTTTTTGGATTTCCTTCCCATTGAGGTCACCACAGAGCGCTATACAGTAGGTCCTCATGATGGTGAAAATTCTTTCTGATGTATATCTGACGAGACCTTTCAATCTGAATTTTGACCAGCTCTATCTTCTGATACACAAAAAGTTCCTCAGAGACTCAGGAATTAACACCAAATTTAAATAGGAATTTAGAAAATTTACAAATACTTCAGTGTTATGATAGAGACAATCTTGGACTAGGAATCAGAAGCTGAAATTTAAATTAGCTTTTTTCCAGCTGACAAACCCTTGCCTAAGTCTGAGCTTCATTTTTCTGATCCAAAAACTAAAAATAATAATTTGCCTCTCCTGCTAATGAGTGATAAGGACTTGGAATATTTTCATGATACCACGAGGTAAGAGCAAGTTTGTTGGGACTTAAAGTGAATTGGGTTTTGAGAAATCAATTGCTCATTGATTGAACATTGAGAAGATGAATTAACTACTTTCGCATGGATTGGAGCAATTAGTTGACAATTTACAGCTTTAATTAGAAGATTGTCCTGGATATTGGGTTCCTAGGACATCAGCAATTTGAATTTACCACACTGATTATACTAGAGTTTCATTAATTTTTCTGAAAATGCTGTTAGGTGGGTAGTAGGTAGGGGAGATTGGCGGTGACTATCTCTGATAAATCATAATTAATGTTAAAAATTAGATGAGAATAAAAAAGTGGCAAAGCCACTTTGCTTAGGAGGTGCTGTGCTGGGCTTAGTCACTTACTCCATGGATGGTAACCCGCCAGACTCCTCTGTTCCTGGGGATTCTCCAGGCAAGAATACTAGTGTGGGTTGCCATGCTCTCTTCCAAGGGATTTTCCTAACCCAGAGATGGAATCCAGGTCTCCCAAATTGCAGGTGGATTCTTTCCTGTCTGAGCCACCAGAGAAGCCCAAGAATGTCTATGGTTTGAACGTGTACCCTTTTCGATGTGTTTCTTGATCATCCTCCTCTTCTTCATCCTTTCTTAGAGAATCCTGCTCGATGGTGATGTGCTCTTCTACCTGGAAATCAGACATAGGGACAGAGATGGAATGAGGAGAATGCTGAGCATAATGGACTCTGATCTCTTTTGCTCAGAATTTTGGCAAGGAAAAATTTCCAAATTATTTAAATTACTTTAAAATTATTATGCAAGATGATGTCTCCCAATTATCAACTGCTCAGAGACTTTTCACCTTGTCACAAAAAAATCTAGGTTCATTCATTTCTCCCTTTACTTAAATTTCCGCTCTGTTTTCAGACAAGTGCTAAATGAAGTTAATACCAGAGGCTACATAAATCTCTCTTTATATTCTGGCAGCCCCCGTTTCCAGAGAACTGAGACTAAGGCTGTTTTTATTTTCCTGGCAGCCCAAGGCTTGGTCTTCTGATATGAACAGTAGCTCAGCATCTTCCAAAGCTGTTAAACTACCCTCAGGAACTGGGGTTCTTCTATCAACTGGGTTAAGGGGAAATATTTCCTCACTCAATTAGCCCTTGCTCTAGTTATTGAGTGATGTATATGCCTGGGCTTTTCTGGTGGCTCAGACAGTAAAGAATCTGCCTGCAACTCAGGAGACCCGGATTCAATCCCCAGATCAGGAAGGTCCCCTGAAGAAGGGAATGGCTATCCACTCCAGTATTCTTGCCTGGAGATTTCCATGGACAGATGCGCCTGGTGGGCTACAGTCCATGGGTCACAAAGAGTCAGACAAGACTGAGCAACTTTCACCTTTTCTTTTTCGTACCTGTGCTATCTTTTTCTTTGTGGGGGGTGGGGGGTGGTGCAGCATGTGGGATCTTAGTTTCCCAACTAGAGATGGAACCCATGCCCCCTGCATTGGAAGCATAGAACCTTAACCACTGCACTGTCCTGCTGGGAAGTTCCAACCTGGGCTATCTTTTATGGACAATCTTCACAAGTGCTGTTGGAGCTCTTAAGTGTCCATGACCCATTCTATTCTTGCGATGGTGGGAAGGATTTTCTACCTCCCATCATTCTGTGGTAATGTCTCAAACAGGTCCAGCTATTGTAAGCAAAGGCAAAGGATGGTTGGGAGGGAGTAGGGAGCTTTTAAGCAGTTCTGAACATGCTCAAGAGGTATAATGCCAAATCTCGGACTTAGTTTGTTGTCCGATCCCATGAGGCTTTCATTTCTCTTTAACAACAACAACAAAACCCATGGAAATTAGTTATTAGCTTGTCTCTGAAAGGATCCTCAAAGATTATCTTGTCCTTTGAGGCCAAACTCCCATTATGTTCCTGATTTAGGCTGCCTTCATGTTGTGGGCTGGGCCTCACGCACAGGGATGGTTGTAATAGAGACCAGCTGAGTCCAGGTTGCAGCTGCAAAGGTCAGGGGTTCAGAGAAGCCCTTCTCGTTCCCCCCCACCTAACACCAAGCTTAGCCAAGAGAAAAAGTTTGGTAAAATTTTCACCTAAATGATCTTCATCATTATTTTCTTTGAGTAAAATTGTCCCAAGTTACCTACCATATGGAATGTCTAGCATTTCTTTTTTTTTTGTCTAGCATTTCTTTGTTTTCTTTTTTGTTTTTCCAACCCCTTTTCATCTTTGAAACAAAACAAAACAACAAAACCTTCCTGACCCCACACCCCACAGTCATGGGACATCTACCCTCCCTCCTTCCCTTCACAGTCAAACCACTTGAAACAACTTCCTTGCGTCCAGGGACACTCCATATCCTGTTCACTTCTCAACACACCGTGACCAAACTTTTGCTGATATGGCCTCTGCTAAGGTTACTGCCAAGGCCACCTAAGGACCACTGTGACCAAACCAGTAGCCACTCCTCAGTCTTCATATTTCTATTTACAATAATACTTAATTTTTGTTTTTGACTTCTTTTGTGAAACAATTTTTAAACCAAGACTTTTAAGAGCATATTTAGGTTCATAGCAAAATTGAGAGGAAGGTACAGTTTTCTCATATATTTTTGCCGCCTACCTCAGGCAGCCTTTCCCATTATTGACTTCTCCACCAAAGTGGTACATTTGTTACAACTGATGGACCCATGAAGTCTATAGCTTACATCAGGGCTCACTCTTGATGTTGTACATTCTATGGGCTTGGTCAAATGTTTAATAACAGGTATCAACCATTATAATATCATACAGAGTATTTTCACCATCCTAAGAATCCCCTGTGCCTGTTCGTCCTTCTCTCCCTCCCATCTTCCCTCCCATCTTGGCAGCCAGTGATCTTTTTACTGTTCCCATAGTTTGCCTTTTCCAGAATGTCATATAGTTGGAACCACACAGTATGGAGTCTTCTCAGATTGCTTCTGTTAATTAGTAATACACATGTAATAGTCCCCCATTTCTTTTGATGTCTTGATAGCTAATTTGTTTTTAGTGCTGAATAATATTTCATTGTCTGGATGGACCACCATTCATTTATCCATTCACCTACTGAAGGATATTTTGGTTGCTTTTAGGTTTTGGCGATTATGAATCAAGCTTGTATAACCATCCATGTGCAGGCTTTTGTCTGAAAAGAACTATTGTCTTCTCTCTCTCTCTTTTTTTTTGGTTGAAGAACACTTACCGATATGAACACTTTAGAATATGTTAAATGAAATAGATAATTACCAAATAATATGAAAGCACAGTGCCAATATACCTGACATGCACATAGATGTATATGTAACTTGGATTGAAACAAGCTATATTCTAATATGTTAGACGCTGATTTTTTTTTTCTGGAATTACAATTCATTATTTGTCTTCCAAATTTTGCTGCAATAATATTTCAAATTTTCTACTTCAAATAAGTTATTCATTTATCATGAGCAAACTCCCCCTAAAATACGGCACCCAAACAAAATTACTTTTTAAAGGATGATATACATGGGTAATTTGCGCCCTTTTTAGCAGCAGGTTTTTTTCAAATGAGATCCTTACACCTGTAGCTTATATAATACTGTATATTAACTATACTTCATAAAAAGTTAATTAAAAAATCTATAATCAGTGAAAATACCCTTCAAAAATGAAGACATAATACAGATATTTTCAGGCAAACAAACAAACAAAAAAATAAGATCATACCCAAAATTCAGTATATAAAAGAAATCAGAGGCTTTGTCACAGAGCACCTAAACTTGCTGTGTACACTTAGATATCATCGAGGAGCCCTAGGGTGTCACAAACACAGTTTTAGAACCGTATCTTAGAACCTTCCTCTTGTCTGCCTCATTCACTTTAAAATTGAGATGTTTTTGTTGAAGTCAGTGCTTTCTGTCTTGGGATGGAATTTGGAATGTGCAATCAGGAAGTGTCAGAGCAAGCCTGGGTGCTCTCTCCATCAGAGAGGACAGGTGTATAAACACAAAATCTTTGTTTGCGCATATGTGTTTTCCTCATGACCCTGCCATGCCCACTCTAATTACCCTTTAACTTGTTCCTCTGAGTGCCAGACTTCAGTCCCCGTAGCCGAGGCACGGCAGTTGCCATGGTGACGGACTCACTCGCTGTTTCCCAGTCATACCTGTTTGCCATTTTCATGCTCTCTGTTTTGCACAATTCTGTTCCTTAGCGAGTGGTCATTTCCTGATGTGTTCTGGTTTCCAAAGCCATCTTCATCATTCTAAGAAAAAGTACAGGATTGCAAAAATAAAATTTCAGAGCCAAAAAACAAATGTTCTTTCAATGAGTGATACCCAAAGAGTTCTGAGGGATGGGACAACAAAGAGGAAGTGTTTAGATGAGTCAGCTGATTAAAGAAAGAAACAATGAATCTTAGTACTTAAAGAAACAGAAATGATTATCAAAAAATTTGAAAATTTACTGTCTGTAAAAACCACATAAGGAAAAAGATTATCTCAATCCAGAAATGTAAATCCTTTTGTTTTATTTCCTTTTTTTTGTCTGTGAAATCTTAGTTCCCTGACCAGGGATTGAACCCAAGCCCCTTGCAATGGAAGCACACAGCCCTAACTACTGGACAGCCAGGGAGTTCTCTAAATCCTTTTGTTTTCTAATATAATCTAATGGTACATATGGTTGCTGGTACAAAAATATGTTTTAGTTAAAAATTTGGATGGCTTATTTTTCACATATTTTTTTCCTGAAAGATATGAATGCTGTAAGTACAAGACTAACAAAAGCTTAAATGTTTTGCATTTTTCCACTTCTTTGATTATACATGTTCCTGATCAGTTTCTCTGCTTGTAATCTTTCTTTCCTTCAGATCTGTATATAAATTCTTTCTACATCATAAAATGAGACTCCTGGCCTCTGGAGTCAATTGCACACCCCTCGGCACAGTTCAGGGTTGCTCGATCCTGTTCATTCGTTTTACTCCGCTCCCTTCGCAGGCACCATGAAGGAACACCCAGCCAAACAGAACTATGTGCCCTTCTCCAGGCCCAGATTAAGTTCTCCTGCCTTGTGTTTGCTATATGCTTTCTATCCTGCAAAACATCCTATAAAATACTAGCAGTTCCTTCTAAACAAGATTTAAAGATAAAGCATGGTTCAACTACCAAAGATGATGATCTGAAAAATGCATGTGTTGTACTGAAAGTCATTACTTATATTTGAAACATGCATGATTTTTGTTGGTGTTGTTATGATGGAAAAGATTGGTGTGGTCCAACTTGAAGAAGACTGAAGGAAGAAGGTTGCTGGGACTAGGCTATGTAGCCTTCCAACAAGCAGAGCTGAGATGAGAGTGCAGCTTTCCAACCTCCTTTTCAACACTTCACACAGACTTTCAAATTATAAAATGAAACAAAATATAGTTAACTGTGGGCTGGATAATTTTATTCTTAGATGTTGGATTTGTGAGATGTTAAAATATGTTTTGTTTGGTTTAGAGCATTCTCTGGTAGTAATGAGCATGATAAAAAATGCCTTCTTCGGCGAGACCAATTTGGCTTTAACTTTTTCTGATTTTTCTTTCACAAACTGCGTAGGGTTTGCTCTTGGAGGTGTGTCTTGACCCCTAGCTGCTTTTCCCAAATGTGACAAACACTTGGCTCATTTTTCCTTTACCTTTTTGGGATGGGTCCAATCTTTCTCCCATCTCTTCCCCAACTAGCCTTTTTAGATGGCACTTCATTCCAAGTAAGGCCACAGATAGATAAACAGTGTCAGATAGGTGGTTTTATCTTTTCAAGAAATGTTTCCTGCTAGCCCTGTCAGCTATGACCTTGATTTGAAAAAGAAACAAGTGTATGAGTTTGATGATTATTTTTAGCCTTGAAGTGCGACATATAGGATCTTCCAACAGGGATGGAACCTGTGCTCCACTGCACCACCAGGCAAGTCCCTCTGTGAGTTTCATTTTAACTTTAGATCTCTGGCTGGCCCCACAGATCTAGGGAAAAAAAATACAATTCCAACTTGTAATGTATGTTCCAAACCTGCAACTCCTGCTTGGAATGCAGATTCTTTGCCTCTGAACCATCTGGGAATCCCCTATTGAAACACAGGACTGTATAAACGTGAATAAAGTTTAACTTCCAGCATTACCTGATTTATGCATAAAAGTCTTGTGGCCAAACTGCTTTTTTTGTGTGTGTGTTACAAATGCTTACACCTTACTTTAGCCCAGCTCCTTGCTTATAACATTCATGAGTGCTGAAAATTTGCTTAATAAAAAGCTAAAAATAAAACCCAACATGAGTTGGAAAAACAGGACCTAGGTAACTGAGGGGGGTTGGCCCGTTGGGTCCCTAAATACACAGGTGACGCCGGGCAGGTCACATCTTTTACCACTCTGTCCATCCATCTCCACGACGGTTTCGACTTGGTCTTCTCCTGGTTCCTTTCCAGCTCCTATCCTTTTCTGGCTCCAAGAGCGTCTGCTTCTAGGTGCTGACCGCTCCTGCCACCTAGTGGCAGAATTGGAGACGTCCTTGAGCAGCTCGGCGCAGGATGGAGCCGACCTTTATAGGGTTAAGGCAAGGGGAGAGGGGTGGGGATGGCAGTGTACGGGTTAAGGGAGGGGTGGAGCGGGCACCTCTGGACGTGTAATGGGATTGTTTTACCCCCACTATAGTACATGCTTTGGTTTTTCAGCGTTGTTCAGAAGAGCAATATCTCCCGGCTGGGGATTTCCAACAGAAACAAAGGAGGTGTTTATGGGTGTTAATTGGTGCCTGAAAAGTGACCCTTAAAATATCAGTTTATCTGCTTCTTTTAAAATTGGAGTCCTACGGGCTATAACAGGTGTCCCATAATTACTTCTTAGCCCATTGTTTTCTTTCCCCCATCTATTTAGCAATTCGGATTGAAAGATATCACAGTACTCTGGACTCTACAACCATGGCTGTATATCTGAGGGCATATCTGCTCCCTGAATGGGTAACAACGTTGTGGGTGCGGTGTATGAGTACTTCTAAGCAATTCACAGCACAGCACTTTTAACTTCTCTACTTAACCTTAGTGGCTGTGTGTCCTAAGGGGATGATCTCGGATTGGGCCCCCGCTGGAGGCAGATCCTTGAGCCAGGAGTACGTGGTGTTTGGGTTTGTTCTCCTTCCTTGTCTTTTTAATCTTGCATTTCTATGTGGTTCAAGCAACTATAGATCCACAGTCTGTGTTCCAGGGAGTACAGATGGACAGAAGCCTTTTAATTTCTTCCTTTCATTCAGTTTCTAAACCACACAACTTCTAGAACATAGTCCTGAAAACTGAAATCACCCTCCTCCCCCCTGGCATCTATTTGTGGGTGGGAGGGGTCTCCCGTAGAATCTTAGCTGAACACATCGCCACCCAAAATAAAGGTGACGATTGCAAGCTTCCCTTTTAACTAGATTCTGGTCAATGAAATGTAAACAGAAATGGAGCCCTGAGTCGGGCAACTTAGGGATGCTCCTTAAGAGATGGCTGGCAGGTCCTTTTATTCCTTCTAGCCTTTCTTCTGTGCTGCTGCCTGGTGTGTGGATGGTTCCAGCTGGGTCACGAACACAAAGGCCCCATCCTTGTGATGTCAAAGTGGTGAACTAGAGGGGCCTTGGGCCCATGGAAACCTTGAGCTCCCACTCTGCCTCTGTACAACCCATCTCCTGACTTACCTGCAGGAAACACACTTCTCCCTTCTTACTTTTGGTTTTTGCTTTTATGTACACCTGAGCTTACATAATATTTAGTGGGTTCAAAACACTGCATGAAACCTTTACAGCATTTTGCATTAGATCTATAGAGGCCTGTGTGGTGACTATTGGGATCACCCCTTTTACAGGTGAGGAAACTAAGGCAAAGATAAGTAAATTCCCTGACCCAGGTTGTACAACCAGAAGTACAGGAGATGGAATCTGAGTTAAGACTTTCCAGTCTCAGGCCCTAATGTACTCGTAGAGTTTAGCCAGTGGGCCAAGGCCTTTTGGCCTCGGAAATGTCTAAAGACATAGTAGTGTACCTACAGATTGAATTCCCTTTCAATTAAGAATGCCTGATTTGGACTCTAGCTATTAACATTTGATTAGAGTAGAAATGACAGAGATACTTAAGATTCCAGAAAGGCTGGGGTCACCTTTAAACTTGTTTTAGGTTCTGGTGGTCATTTCTTATGCCAGCATGATGGCCTTCCAACCTTAGACAGATTCTAAGTCAACTTTGCCCTTTAAATAACATGAGTGGGCACTCCTGCGTTTGTGGGCAGGTCATGTCTCCATGGGGGGCTTCCCTGGTGGCTTGGATGCTAAAGAATCTGCCTGCCATGTGGGAGACTCAGATTCAATCCCCAGGTCAGGAAGATTCCCCTGGAGAAGGGAATGGCAACCCACTCCAGTATTCTTGCCTGGGAAATTTCCATGGACAGAGGAGCCTGGTGGGCTACAGTCCATGGGGTCGCAAAGAGTAGGACATGACTGAGCGGCTAAGCACAGCATAGCATATGTCTCCGTGATGAGTGTGAGATTCTTTCTTCTTCTAACCATGCCTGCTCCGCTCACTTGGTCTCTCTCCCCCGCTGTGGCCCTGACTGGACCAACATGGCTTCCATTTCTCAGCTGCAGTGTCTCCACCGAGACTCAGGATCACTATGCCAGGAGGGCCTTTCTTTCCACCTTCCTTATACAAACTGCTCTGGCCCCATGTGCTCTGACTGGGGGACTGGACTTGCTGAGGGGGGCACAGCTTGGCTTTGAGACCTGGAGCAAGAATCGGAAACTTCCTCCAAGGAGACTTTGATCCTAATCTTTGGCTGGACGTAGAGCATATAGGTTTATCAAAGATGAGATTTCCCCTCAGGCAAAGTGATGTTGACAAGGACCTCCAGGAGTTGCTGTGATGTTCCTTAATTTGTTCTAGGGCTTGGCATTACGTAGCAGGTTTTAGGAGGTGTTTGATAATATACCTTGGGTGGAGGGTTTTATATTGCCGATACAGATTAGATTGGTGATCTAAGTTGCTTATTTTATTTACCATGTATTTAAAGTGTATATAAGAGTGTGGTGGTAGTGGTGGTTTAGTCGCTAAATTCTGTCTGACTCTTATAACCTCAGGGACTGTAACCCACCAGGCTCCTCTGTCCATGGAAATTTCCCAGGCAAGAATACTGGAGTGGGTTGCCATTTCCTTCTCCAATATGTGTGTATCTATTTCCAAATCTCTGTCCACCTTTAATGCAAACTTCCT